GCGATCACAGACCCCACCTGTAAGCCCTGAAGGTCCCGGTCCTCTGCACCCCCACTCCCCTCGCCCACCCAGCGGCTCCTGCCCTGGCTGCCCTGCCTCCTCGCCAGCCTCTTCTCCCTTCTTGTGACGCCGCATTCCAAATGCCACATATGCAACCTGGGGCGGCAAAGCTTCCTGGAAGCCAGTAGAGAAAGAAACATCGGTCCATCCAGGCCCAACCTGGGTGAGGAGGGGCCCATGCTACGTTTGTTCATCTTTTCCAGTCTCTCTCCCGCTGCCCAAACTCTCCTGGGAGCCTCATCCTCCCTCAGAATTGCACCTGTGAACCGCACAAGTGCGAGGGATTCCTCGGTCTAAGCTAGAGGAATGTTCCAGGCTCCTCTTATCTTGGGGCTTGCCTTATTTCAGTTAGCAGACCTACCTGGTGACCCCTCCATGCTCTGTCTTGGAAACTTCTCACCCTTCCCTTGGCCAGTTCCCACACTTAGCAGGTGTGCTTGTTAAAACTCAGATTGACCCCAGCCCTACCTCAATGCTCCCAGGTCAGAATGGTCCAGGCAGGGATCTGGAGAACTAGGTTTTAAAATTAAAAGGCCCCAGGAGGTGCTGATAATCAGCAAGTTTGACCACATTTCCACGGTTTATCAGAGACACCTGTCAATTATGGGAGGTGGGGAGCACCAAGAGTGGAGTAGACTGGAGAGGCTTCTGCCTTTGGCACCAAGATCCCACAAGGAGGAAGCTGGGGCAGCCCTGGGGGTCAGACGATGCGGGTCCCAGAGGTAAGCTGAGTTGTCCTCCCTCTCCTGGTGGCGTTTGTGCCTGTCCCACCAAGATCCCACAAGGAGGAAGCTGGGGCAGCCCTGGGGGTCAGACGATGCGGGTCCCAGCTGAGTTGTCCTCCCTCTCCTGGTGGCGTTTGTGCCTGTCTTACAGCAGCTGGTTGTGGAAGGTGCTGGGCTGGGGGCTGTGCTGAGGGGTTGGGTTCCGTGGACAAGGTCCCTCCGGGGAACAGGCGCGAGGCCTGGCTCCTCCCAGTGTCTTTGGCTGCCGATGAAGTTGCCCACGTTTCAGTTGCTAGTTTGGTCTTTGTCCTGCCACTCCTGGACTCAGAGGGCTGCGACTCGAGAGTTGGCAGATCTGGCTTCCGCACCCATGGGAAGAACAGTCCACACAACCAGCATCGTCCAGAGAGGTGATACCCAGCCCCACCCCCTTCATCTCCTACTTTTGACCAGATCTTTTCATCCCTTTCTCTAAACCTCCACCAACTACCCTTCGGGAGCACATACTAAGCCGGACAGTGCTGTGCTCCTGTGGAAGGGGCTGGGAGACCGGGAGGCCCGGCTGGGATTAAGTCCCAGCCACATGACTTGGGAGAATTTTTGCTTCTCTTTAAGCCTGCAAAAGCAGACAATGTCAGCTGAGCCCCCTGGGATGTGATAAAAGACTGTGGGGAAGCACAGTGTCGAGTCCCAGCTCTACCCCATACGAATCACGTGTAAGCTACTTAGCCTCTCTGAGCCTCAATTTCCTCTTCTGTAAAATGGGGCGGTATTGGTTTTCTATGGCTGCTGGAGCAATCACCACAAACTTAGTGGCTTAAAACAACACAAATTTATCATCTGACGGTTCTGGAGGTCAAAAGTCCAAAGTAAGTGTCACTGGGCTAAAATCAAGGTGTCAGCAGGGCTGTGCTCCTTTTGGAGGCTCTAGGGGAGAAGCCCTTTTCTTGACTTCCAGCTTCAGGAACCCCGTTCCATCTTCAGAGCCAGCAGTGTAGCGTCTTCGCCTCTGACTTGGACTCGCCTGCCTTCCTCTTTTACTTATAAAGACCCTTGTGACTACATTGGGCCCACCTTGAAATCCAGGCTAATCTCCTTATTTTAGGGGTAGCCAATTAGCAACCGTAATTCAATCTGCATCCTTCACTCTCCATCGCCATGTAACATAGCGTATTCACAGGTTCCAGGGATTAGGATGTGGCCACTGTGGGGGGACATTATTCTTCTGCCACAGGGGATAGCAACAGCTTTATCGCATGGGAGTAGAGGAAAATGAGGTAAACCATGTCACGGCACACACAGCGTGGAGTAACCCCCAGTACGTCATTATTCTTCTGCCACAGGGGATAGCAACAGCTTTATCGCATGGGAGTAGAGGAAAATGAGATAAACCATGTCACGGCACACACAGCGTGGAGTAACCCCCAGTACGTGTGAGTGAGTGTTGTTACTATTTTTGTTGTTAGAATGTGAATGATTTCCCATGGAGGGGGAAGAAAAGCTGGAGGACCATGACCTCTGAGCCTCAGTTTCCTCATCTGGGAAATGGGACCATCCCACTGACTGTGGGTCGTGGTGCAGTTTCAGGGAGATGCTGCCCCAAGTGTTTAATGCCATGCGGCACAAAGCAGGTGCTCAAATGGTAGCGAGTCGTATTTTTCTCTCATTAGTTGCCCAACTCCAGAGAGAACCTCACTAAAGTCCTCATTCCTCCCATCTCTCCTTCATGCTCGCTTCAGGTGTCATCGTGGCCCACAGGGGTCTGCCTAGAGCTTGTGACTGTGACCTTGACATTTTTGCCTTGTCTTAATGCATATCTGGCCCCCACTTGCCTATGGTAAGGAACAGACATCAGACCCAATTGTGGGCTCCCCAGCCCTTTCCACATGGTGATCCAGCAGCTCAGACTTTATGCTCCCAGCTTAGCACCCCAAGAGAAGAAGGGCATCCCTGTCCCATAGCTCCTGCAAAGTCCCTGGAGTGATGCTTACTGGCTGTGACCACCATGGCCTGGGTCCCCTGCCCCCATCCCTAACCAATTGCTGGAGGTTGCAGGGGATCACAATACTATTCTTGGCTAGGCCTGGGTCACAGGGCCACCCAGGAGCTGAGCCAGGGAGGGGGTAACAGGAGCTGGGCAGAGAAAGACAGCCCAGGGCCGCAGCAGGCACCCTCTCCCTGCCGCTTGCCTGGCCTCCACTGAGGGGTCCCGCTCAGCACTTCCCACCACCACCCATAGCCCATCACCCCATACACTTCCTTACTTGCACACCTGGGACTCTGGTCTCCCCTGTGAAGCTGCAGGCCACTTCCGGGGTGGGCTTAAGAGTGAGACAGACTCCTAATTAATACACCCTTTTGCTGTTATCTGGGGTGGCAAGTCACCTGCTTTATTCGTCTGAGCCTCAGTTTCTTCATCTGTAAAATGGGTGTCATAACTAATAAGATACACCTCCTAGGGCTGTCATGAGGACTGAATGAGTAGACAGCAGTGACTAGCATAGGGTCTGGCACAGGGCAGGTGCTGCAAAGGTGCATCTCCTTCCACCTCCTTTTCTCTGACTCCAGGTCAGAGGCAGCTCAGAGTGGCTCTGCTGAGCTCCGGCTCTGGAGTCTGCCACACACAAACTCAGTCCTCCCCAACCTCCCAGAGCTTCTGCTTTCTAAGCAGTAAACGGTGAGCACAACCCCTGCCAAGTGCCCAGCACTGTTGGCAGTAATGGAGGCTGTGCTAATTTTATCCAACATGACAAACCCCAGTTTCTGATGTGATGGGAATTTGGTGTCCGAACACTCGGGTATGGCGTCATACAGGGTCACCTCCCTGTGCATCTGTAAATGGGGACTTACCTGTGAGGGGTGAGTGCCATCGTTATCCTTTATGCCCCCCCCCAGACCTCCCCCCAAGCCACAGAGCTGCTGTTCAGCCTTTATTGATAGAAGACATAGTTATTCAATACTACAGGTACAGAGTCTTTGCATGGCCCAAACACAGGGTCTTCATTAACAATTTAAACATCTTAACTTATCGGGGGTCATGTCACGCAAAGCAGCTGAGCAGTGCTGGTCAGACGGGTAGCCCTGGGATTGTGTCTAAAGATGGTGGATGCTCTGTGGAAAGTTCCAGAACTTACTTGCTACATGGCTCAAGCTCTACATGATTCACGGTTTTCTTTCTTTCCATCAGAGGTGTCAAATCTCAGCACAAAATGCCCCCCTCCCCATTCCTCCCATTCCCATTCAATTCACCCTTAGAAAGTCCCCCAAACCCAAAACTATGACACCTCTTCTCTTAGGTGAATATAAGAAGAGGCTGAGTCATGACTGAACAGTTAGAAAAATATCTGGTCTCTAATATTAAAAAATAGGATGTTTCACAGTATCAAAAGTGCTTTTTTGTCCTGGGGGGGAAAAAAAAAGTCCACAGCTGCTAAGGGATTAAAAGCCAGTTAGGGAGGTGACTCGCTGACAGTTTAGGAGTGAGGGTTCTGGGATGTGGAGAGGGAATGAGGAATCTCATGGTAGGGGCCTAGGGCTGGGTATGCAGATGTGGAGTGGATGGGCCACAATAAATATAAATAAATTTACACACGGCCACAGTGCCTGGCGTGGCCCAGGAATCTGCTCTGTGAGATTCTATCAGACCACAGAGTGGGCTGGAGGCAGGCTCTCACATCAGAGTTCAGCCTGTCCTGTCAAGAGAAGTTCAAGGTTCCACGCTCCATTCCAGCCTCAGGCCTATCCACTGGAAACCGAGGCAGATGTTTCATCCGCTCAGTCTGTCTCCCAGGAGGATAGGTTAAAGGGCCTTCCCACCAGGGCGTTTCCTAGGTGCACCAGAGTCCTAAAGTGGGCTGTAGTTTGTTGAGGGTGCCTGGCCAGGAGCCAGGCTGGAGAAATTTCATGACTGTCAACACGAACAGGCCTTGCGTCCCAGGTCTCAGAGGAGTGTCAGGGACAGGGTGAGTCTGGGTCGCTCGTCCATTCTCCTTTGCCCTTCTGACTTGGAAAGACCCCAGAAGCTTCCTGTGGGGGGCATGTGAGGGGTGGGGGTTGCCGAGGGGAACTGCTTCCCTGTCCAGCTGGCAGCCTCATGAAAGGCTCAGGAGATGCCTGTGGGACAGTGAGGGGCCTTTCTTCTGGGATCACCCTGCTCCTATCAGTTCTCTGCCCCAGCCAGCCACCGGGGGTTCTGGGGCAGGCATGGCCACCAGCTCAAAGCAGGGCTATGGGCTTGTTCCCTGGAGTGCCCAGGTACTGAGAGGAAGAGGTGGTAGCTGCTGCAGCCACACTGTCCTGGGTGGAATATGTGGTATAGAGACCCGTCACCTGCAAAGCTGGGAAGGACTGGTTGCTGCCACAGGAGACGGGGGTCAGGCCCGAGGCCCCCAGGTCACAGCCAAGTGGGGAGTCTCCGAAGGTCCCCAGCGTGTCCAGGCTGAAGCCCTCATCCTTCATCTCCTCCCAGAGGTTCCCTTTTAAAAACAAAAGCATTTGGGTGAGCTGGCTTCATGTTAAACAGATCCAAGTTCAAATCCCCATCTTAGGGAAGAGGCAGAGACCACAGGTGGTGTTTAAGGTCATGTATTGTAGAAAAACAGCATGCAGGAGCCAGAGTTCCAGCCCCAACCCAACCCTTCCCACTGGGTGTCCTTAGAAAAGTTACTTCCATGTCTGAGCCTCAGAACAAAATGGAGATGATCAGAGAACCCACCTCCCAGGGCTGTGGCAAGGGTTAATAAACAAGATGATGTGTGAAAGGCAGTTGGCTCTCATTAAGCAGTCCTATCACGTCAAAGCCAGGGGGACAGAAGAGTGTTTTCTTTTCCTTCAGCACATTTAACCACATAGCACTCCAGGGAGCCAGGCAGGGAAGCTTGAATATACCCATTTCACAGCTAGGACTGACTTGCTAACTAACTAACCTGCTAACTAGTCCATTTCCCTCACCGGAGACGGAGCTCCTTGAGGACAGAGGACATCTCGGCCATTGGCTGGCACATAGTAGATGCACGCATGTTAGTGGATGGATGACTTATGAGCCTTCACTGAGCCTGCAGCTCCCTTGTTCGTCTTTCCATTCATTCACTCATGTCCCATCTATTGGAGATGACCTTGTGGCAGGCAGTGGGTCAGAGTGTGCCTGGCATGAGGGTGGCACATGCAAGTTGAAGCAGATACTAATGAAAAGTTTGGGATCAGATATGTGTTTAAGTCCCAGCTCTGCCACTTACTAGACCTTGTCCCGGTGGACCTTGTCCCAGTGACTTTACTTCTCTGCCTCAGTTTCCTCATCAGCAGAATGGGGACATGAAATGGCAGTGGCCTCAGAGGACTGGGTTGGGTGAGATGAGATGATGCCTATGAAGTGCTTGGCCTGGTGCCTGGTACACAGCAAGTGCTCATTAACCGTTGGCTGTAATTTGCTATTAGGTAGGTGGTTGCCACGTCAATGAAGCCACAGGGTAAATGCAGATAGTGCAGTCCTCCTCTCCCTTGCTCTCCTGTCTCCTTAACCTCCCCCCATTTCATTCCCATCCCCCATTTTCCAGCCTCACCCTGCAGAGCAAAATCCATGATGCTGGGGTCCAGGGCATCCACCTCGGTGTTCATGTCAGTGCTGATGTTGACGAAGTCCACAGGAGCCCTTCCCATGGTGGGGTGGGGGAGTGGGCTGGGGCTCAAATCCGGCAGGGCATGCAGGGGTGGGGTCTGGGCTGGAGCCGGAGAGTCTGGAGCAAGATGTGCCTGGGGCTGGACTTGGTGGTGCAGAGGGACTGACTGCAGGGACAGGGTCATCAGTGGCTGGGGTGGGAGCTGGGAGACAGCCAGGCAGCCATGGGCCATGGCCACCGTGGTGGCGTGAGTCAGCACAGGGGCCTCTGGCTCTCCTGGTTTGCCAGGGCGTCGGCAGCTTTCTGGCCGATCCGAGATCAGCTTGTCCAGCTCCTCTGCAGGTAAGCAGGAGAGGTCACTCAGAACCCAGTCTTGGTTCAAGTCCCAATGTTACCTATCACCTGTGTGACTTTAGCAAGCCCCTTGGACTCTCTGAACCTCTGTCTCCTCATCTATGAGATGGCATTATACACTCTGCTCAGGGTTGCGGTGGAGATGTAATGAAATCACAGACTGTGCAGGGCCTTTGAGGAATGAGGCACCATCAGATAATACTAGCCCCTCTCATTTGGACAGTAGCTTATAGCACAGTCCTGTAACCCTAGGATCTCACTTGAACCTCATAAAAGCCCTGCAAGAGGGAGGCAAGGCAGGGATTACAGATCCCATGAGACCAGGACAAATTTATTAACACCCAGGGGTCCTAGCCACCCCCTGCTACTAAAGAGACATTAAGAAGTATTGCTTTGGGTTAAAAATGGATCTTTTCTGGGCCGGCCCGGTGGCGCACTGGAGAGTGCGCTGCTTGGGAGGGCACTCCCGCCGAGGGTTCGGATCCCATGTGGAGACTGGTTCCCACTCACTGGCTGAGCGTGGTGTGGGCGCAACACCGAGGGTTGCGATCCGTTACCGGTCAGTAAAAAAGACAAAAAGGAAAAAAAAAATGGATCTTTTCTAATCTCTTGGATATTAACAAGACAGAAATGACTTCAATTATTTTTGGTTGTTGGCTATATTTTGTGTGTAACACAGTGTTGAGACTGGGCCATTAGGATCCCAAGATCTATTTGGGTTGCAACTGTTTTAGAAATGAGGACAAACAGAACCCAGAATGCAAAATGACCTGCCTAAGATCTCTCACTAAATATGTCAGGACGGGCACTGGCTCTCAAGCCAGAACCCAAAGCTCTCGGTACAGGATGTGCCATGTGATATCTCCTCAACTGGGAGCCTGGTGGTTCCTTCTCCCCACCATATTGCATTCATCTTTGGGCCAAACTGCCAGCCCCCTTCACACCCAAACATCAAGCATGATGACACCCGGCTCACAGTCCCCATCAGTATGTCCCTTGTACGGCCCTCCTCCTAACATCCCTTAATTAAAAAAAAAAAAAAAGAAAATATGCAGTCTTCTTTTTCCTAATTATAAAAGTAATTCATGAACAGGGTAGAAGTTTCAGAAAATACAGAAGCATGAGAAGAACATAAAAATTATAAGTGATCTCTCCCCTGATAATTCACAGTAAACATTTTGATGTATTTCCTCCCAGATATATTCATATTCTCCCCCCCCATATATATATTTGTAAAAAGTGGGTATGGATATATCTATGCACTTTAAAATTTTTAAATGTGATCATGCTGTGCATATTGATTCATACTTGCTCTTTTTTTTTTTTTTTTTTTTGTCTTTTTCCGTGTCTGGCAACGGATCGCAACCCTCAGTGTTGCCCCCGTACTGGACCGGGACCAGCAACGGGATCACAACCCTCGGTGTTGCTCCCGCGCCTCGCTCAGCCAGTGAGCGGGAACCGGTCTGTATGTGGGATCCGACCCCTCGGCGGGAGCGCCGCCGCACTTCCCAAGCGGCACACTATCCAGTGCACCACCGGGCCGGCCCATACTTGCTCTTTTGAGGAGCATTTCTTTATATTCCAAAAATATTTAAAGTATTTTTATCTTTAATACTTGCATGGTATGCTATTATACTTATTTAACAAAACTTCTATTGCAGGATGTTTAAATTGCTTTCAAATTTTTACTCTTAGAAATAATTTTGTGATGGAAACTAACTTTGTTCATAAACCTTTTGCTCAAATCTTTGATTTCCTCAGCATAAATTGTCAGAAGTACAATTGGACGGATACACGGGTACAGTCTGCAGGTTTTCTGATACCTTACTTTGTTCTCAAAAAGTTTAACAACTTACATTCCCACCCGTTGTATACAAAGGTGCCGATTTTTCTGTATCCTAGCCCACACTCCATGTTCTTATTTTATTATTTTTAAACATCTCTGCCAACATGGTAGGAAAGCAGTATTTGCTGGTGGTTTAGGTTGGCATTTCTGTGCAAGAAACTGGGGATGACTAATGAGGTTCAACGGCTGTTCATGTTTCTGACCAGGGCCCAATTTACCAGCCATGGACTGGGGGCGGAGAGGGGAGGCGCCTTGCACAGGAGGAAGTTGGCCGGGTGCCTGGCTCTCCGCCATTGTGGCTGAGACGTGTCGCAGGCTGGCAGGGACACCGGCTGAGCCGCGGCTGGGCTGGGAGCTGGGGGGAGGGGCAGGTGCGCGCACGCGCGGCGGGTGCCCAGGCCTCACCCGGGTTGGCCATGCTCCGGTGGATGGCGGCCAGGTCCTTCGTCTTCCACTTGTGCATCTCCTCCTCCATCTTGTCGATGCGGGCCAGGTTCAGGGCCCACAGGCAACCCTTGCGCGAGGAGCCGCTCATCTTATTCTCCACCTTCTCGAAGCACTTGTTCAGGGACAGGTTGTGCCGCACGGAGTTCTTCCAGCCGTCCGGAGCCGTCTACGAGGAGACACGGGCACTCAGGGGACCCCTTCAGAGACCTCCCTATAAACCCTTTCCTCTTCTGGGGCATCTCAAACTCAGGCCTATGGTGGCAGGACACAACAGCGGCAGGGGTAACATGACAGCATCCAACACTCAGCCTCAAGCTGGAGAGATGAGAGAGTGGTGGGGACTGTGGCAACTGGAGGGCCCGTGCCCGGATCAAAGGGGCTGCAGTTCAGCTCCCGCCAACTGTTACTACCGAGAACACAGTCCAGGGCTGCTGGATCTTCCATTCTTTCTCTCCCACTCAGGAAGCAAGCAAGCAAGAATGATGCTAATAAACGGACAACTGGTTAAGTGTCTTAAATGCAAATCCTTTTTAAATGCTCATACTTTATTGCTAAGTAACCAGCTATTGCAATGCATCTCATACCCTACACACACATGCACACACACACAGCACTTTGCTGTGATATTTCTGCTAAGGACACTGTCCAGGTCAGGGACCCTACAGCTTGGAGCCCTTTGATGTCCTGCTCTTTCTGCTTTCATACTAACAAGGATAACGTTACTAATGGCCAACCACATGCCAGCAGCTGTCAGGCCCTTTACATGCAGAATCCTCACTAATCTTGCCTGCTGGATATTAATCTCCCCACAGGTGAGGATACTGAGGCTCAGATGTGAAGCCTCTTGCCAGGTCTATGTCTTACATCATGATATTTTACTGAGTCTGTGATGAATAACTAGGCTGCCTTTTGCCCCCTGAGATGCCTAATGAACTCTTTATCCATCAGAGCCTGGATCAGATGTCCCTTTCTCTTTTTGGATTTCTGTGTGAGTGTACGAGCAAGTGTCCTTACTACCAGGTATACAGACATAACCGGGGGCCTATGAGAGTGGTGTGGTTTGGCTCAGGGCCAGCCCCGGGTTCTGGCAGCATCAGGGAGAAGCCAGGGTAGCTCAGCACCCCCACCCTGGGTTGGGGCCCCTCACCTTGAAGTAGGGGAAGTGCTCCTTCATGAAACTGTAGATCTCGCTCACAGGCAGGCTCCCTGTCTTGCTGTTCTTCAGGGCCATGGCGATCAGACAGCTGGGGGCGAGAGGTGGGGCAGGCCAGTGAAGGGGTCTCAGGCTGACAGCCCAAAGTCCCCTCTTCCAGGAAGGCTGCCCTGCTTAACCCCACTGGTACCAGCCCCTAGGAACTCACACAGTGTTAGCTCTCAATACCTCTCATGGCCCAAGGTCTTTCCCACTCTTTGCCCTTCTCCTTGACCCTGTTGGTACTGATGTGAGAAACCTTATCTTCTCCTCTCTATTCCATCCCCATAATTAATGTCTGTATGCTTTCAGACTTTACCTAGGCTGCTTCCCCACGCCCCCAATGCCTGTGAGGTACACAATACTATTATTGTGATGACTCTTCACATGTGAGGAAACTGAGGCTCAGAGAGGCCAGGCCACTTCCCCAAGGCCACACAGCTTGTGAGTAATGGAGGGGGCACTGAGCTCAGCATCTGAAGTGGATTCTCAATCCCGGGGGTTGACTGATCACCTGATAGCCCTTAATGAGAACAGATGCCACCTGGGGATTCCCCACTCCCCCAAACCTCCCCCATGGAAGTCTAGACCACCAGACCTAGCTGTCTGAGATGCCCTAAAGGCAGCCCTCACCCCTCTCCTCCCCCGGCCCACCCTGGACCTCACCTGTATGAGTAGATGGGCTTGGGGTAGTGTTTGGGGTGCAGTTCCTGAGATGAATGCACAGCTATGTGGGGCTGGGGGTAAGGAGGCCGCACCCCAAATGGGGAGCCATAGAGGCCAACAGGAGGGCACTTCCCGCAGGCATGGGCAGGGTGGCAGAGAGAGAGAAGGTGAGAAAGAGAAGTCACTCACAATAACCCCAACCCCACCCAGTTTCAAAAGCAGTGCGGGGGTGGGGGGGTGGGAGGAGGTACCATGGACTGGGCTGGGGGTGGGGGTTGGGTTACAACCACATGCACGCACGCACGAACCAATCTTGTCTCTGCCCATGGCAGGGGTTTTGGGGCAACTGAATGACTGCATGACATGGGCATGGTGGGGAATGTTATTCCTGTGTTCCAAGTGAGTAAACCGAGGCTCAGAGAGGTCCCTGGCCGGCCCAAGGCAGGGGTTCTGCCTCTGAGTCCAGGGCTCCTCTGAGCCCCCGGTACCTGCTGGGCACCCGGGGGGAGTGGGAAATGTGGTTGGGTGGCAGGCGAATACAGCTGTGGCATGTCCTGCAGGCCGGATGAAGGCTGGTCCCCCACAGGGAACTGGCTCATCTGCTGGGGCCAGGAGAAGAGGAGACAGAGGGTCAGAGTGAGGATGAGGCATCCCAGCCCAGGGGGGCATCCCCCTCACTCTCCAACCCATGCGGTGGCACTTACGCTGGCTCCATGGCTAGTTATGGGGCCCAGGCCCAGCATGCCTCGGGGGGCCATGCCAGCCGGGTTGTGGAGAAGGGGACCTGGGGTGGCTCCCACATGGAGGTCAGCTGCCCCAGCCAAGGCACCTGCAAGAGGGAAGCACAGAGATACCACTGTGCTGGAGGAATGGTGGCCACAGACAGGGACAGCTCAGTCCCTGGGCATCTCCTGAGGATGGAGCCATCCCCCACCCTCAGGATCAGACACATAGCAGGTGCTTGGAAAACCACTTTCCTGGAGTGTAGTGGTAAAAAGTGGGGTTTTACCAGCTGTGTTACCTTGGGTCAGCCTAGTTTCCCCATTTGTACTTGGGCTAATTATATTACCTGTCTGTAAAGTGGTTGTGAGGGTTAAATGAGATAATGTCCATCAAGTACTCGGCATGTTGCTGGGCATGTGGTAATATCTCAATAAATATGAGTCAGTAATAAATAATGATGATGATGATGTACCTTGGTTCCTGCCCTTCATAAAGCTAAAACACCAACTCATTGTTCCTTTCTTCTCCTCAAAAACAACTCATGGTTCCCCAGTGCCTCTAGGTTTAGGGGCAAATGCTTCATGCCTCCTCTCCACTTTGCTAAGCCCTGCTGATGTACCTTGGTTCCTGCCCTTCATAAAGCTAAAACACCAACTCATTGTTCCTTTCTTCTACTCAAAAACAACTCATGGTTCCCCAGTGCCTCTAGGTTTAGGGGCAAATGCTTCATGCCTCCTCTCCACTTTGCTAAGCCCTGCTCCTCTGCCAAGGATTAGCAGAAGAAGAGCAGACATACAACCCCTCCTGCACTGGGCCCATGACAGACATTTCTAATCCATCCCAGATTCTCACTGCAGCGGCCTGGTTGTAGGCAGCCTTGCAATGTTGACCTGAAAGATGATCCTGCCTTAGGGCCATCTCTTCCAGTAAGCTTTCTGGGTCCTTCAGCTTTCCTCTGAGTTCTGGCTGCCACCTGGGCTCACCCTTTGTGCCTTGGTCTATTTATCTTGTCCTTCTCTCTCTGACCAGACCATGAGCTCTCTAAGAATCAGGGGGACCACATGTTATATGACTCATTGCTGCAAAACCTGGCACAGTGACAGGCACACAGAAAGTTCCCAGCAGACACAGTGGAGAAGAAAGTGCCTTCCTTATTTTACCATTTATTGAACATCTACTATGTTTAAGGTGCTTTCTGCATGGAATCCTCACAAGATGCCATGAGGACAGTTCTATTTTAATTTCATGGCAGACAAGGAAACAGGTCAGAAGGGAAAGCACTTGCCCAAGACCACACAGCTCTCCCCTAGGTTTCTAGATCAGGGGTTGACAAACCATGGCCAGTAGGCCAAATCTGGCCTGCAGCCTCTTTTTTTTTTAAATAAAGTTTTATTGGCATATAGCCATGCCCATTCAACTACACAATGTTTATGGCTGGTTTTGCACTACAATGGCAAAGTTAAATAGTTTCATCAGAGACTGTATGGCCTACAAAGTCTAAAATGTTTGCTACCTGGCCTTTTATAGAAAAAGTTTACTGACCCCTGCTATACCTGTTTTGCCCAAGAACAATTTGCCCAATGAAGTAAATACTTTCAGACAGTGATTTTTCAACTATTGGCACTTTTAATTTATTGTGGCAATTTTTTATTGTTATTTGCTTTGTAAAAACACGTTCTACGTCTTTAAGCATTGAATCCACTTGTTGATTGCAACTAGCTGCCATTTATTGAGCACCTACTGTGTGTAGACCCTGTGCTCAGCCTTTTCCATATATTATCTTTTGGAATTCTCTAGATCGGGGGCTGCTAACTTCTATTGTAAAGGGCCAGACAGCAAGTATTTTAGGCTTTGCCAGCTATCTGGTCTGTCATCGTTGTTTTTACAACCCTTGAAAAATGTAACATTCGTTCTTCACACATGCAAAAACAGGCTACACTTGGCCTCTGGGCCATAGTTGTTGACTGCCCCAGATGTTCAAGATACACTAGGGTAGTGTCAGGTCTGTCTTCATTCTTTTTCTTTTCTTTTCTTTTTTGAAGACTGGCTGTTTCCCATGGCTTGGTGGTGCAATACCAAGGTGGTGAGGGGATGCCTGGGTAGGTCCACCTTTATTCTTCACTGAAACTTTAGCTGACCTAGGGCCTGGCACCTGGTGTTAAGTAAATGATGAACCACATCCCTCTGAGGAGGTACAATTAGTCTCATTTTACAGATGCAGAAATAAAGGCACAGAGAGAGAAAGTGACCTGGCCACGGCCACACAGCTGTGTGTGGCATGGCTGTGCCTCATCCCCTCTCCTATACCACCCTCCCCCCTGCCCCACCTGCCCATGAGCCTACCTGAGTGTGGATGTGGCACACTGGAGCCACCCAGGTCCACACGGCCACTCGCCATCTGCTGTAGCCGAGGTACATCCACAGCCGTGAGCCATGACAGTGACTGCAGGTCCCCGGGGAGGTCGTCATCTCCAGGGGTAGCCAGGATCCTGCAGAGGGGAGCAGGGAGCTCCGGCGGGATGAGGAGCTTAGACTGGCTCCTGGGTGGCTTCCTGATCCCTCACCTCCCTGAGCCACCCCAGCCCTCCAACCTGCCCTTCTCCGAGATTGGGCATAGGAACCTGGTCCCAAGATCACCCTCTGGCATCCAGAGCACACATCCTCAAATTATTCCTTCATTTGCTCATTTACATCTTAGCACCTACTGCAAAAATAATAAACACTAATGTTTGTTGAGCACTTACTACGTGTCATGAACCAGTCAAGACCTCCATAGGTATTAACCCATTTAACACCCCCAGTCACCCTACGAGGCAAGTATTATTATTTTTATTATTCTTATTTTACAGATGGGGAAACTGAGGCACCATGGGAGCTCACCTGGGACACCATAGCAGAGAGTAGCCAGGGCCTGTGGTCAAGGTCTCCCCTGCCATGGCAGAATCAGGAGGCACCATCGCACCCAGGTTGCCCAACCCCAGGTCTGTGGTGGTTTCCCACCATGCTGTAGCTTGTGTGGATAGCATGGAGCTTGGGATCAGACCACATGGATGATGGGGTCACTTGCTCAGACAGCTGACTTCCAGCTACCTACTTGACCCTAGGTTCAGTGCTCAATAGGCATAGTCCCACTCAATCCCCCACAGCAACCCTGAGATGTAGGATATGCCCTGATCCCCCTTTTACAGACAGGAAAACTTGGAGCACTGAGGCTTGGAGCACTGAGTCTCTTGTCCAAGGCCACACAGAACAGGAAGTGGTGGGGCTGGGACCCAGGCAGCACGGCCTGAAGCCTGACCTCATCACCACAACCCCAGGAAGCCCCCGAAGGCTCCAGTTAGGACCTGCACCCACCACCCCTCAACAGATGCATAAGCAAAAACATTGCTTTCCATGGAGGGAAAAAGGCTGCCCATGGAGAATACCAGACAGGTACCCCGGTGTGAGATAACCATTACCCTCCAGTGTCTCTGAAGTCATGCTGGCCACACTGCTCCGAAAGCACCAGCACTTATGACACTATCTTGTCCACCTTGTAACTTGGGTGCAGACTGGCCCAGAGGCACATGCCAGACCCCAGTGCACCTGCCACACCATGGCTAGGGGCTTTCTTTTGTGTTGCCAAGAAGCCCACAGTCCGAATTCTAAGCTGCAAGCATCTCAGGGGCCCGTAGAGAGAGAGGAAGAGAAAAGCCCCACAGATCCGGCCTGTGGTTTCTCTGTGCGTTTGACAGAAGGCCCTGCACGGGGCACTGGCCTCCACCCTCCTTGCACCTGCAGGGCCGCCTCGAGCTCGCATTCTCTCTCTTTCTCACTACTCCTCCCTCTGCCTCTCTCCCACCTCCTCCCCATCTCTCTCCCTCTCTCTTCTTGTGTTTTAGGACCACAATTAGCGTTGCCATGGCCACTGCTGCTCAGTTGTCGCAGGGCCAGGGCCCTCAGCCCACGACGACGCTGGCATCAGGTGATGCCCAGCTGCTCCTGCCATTGGCTGCCTCGTAGGAAAACAGGGCCTGGAAACGATTTGAAAACCTGGCTGGCCCGTGTCAGTGGCAGCAGTTGGCCCGGCTGCTGTCCCCCTGGCAGCCCATTGTGTGACAAACGACTGTTGCCCCTGTGGCACGTGGCCCCCATTGTCCCAGAGTCTCGATGCAATTGTTTTTGCGGCCCCCTGGCTACTGCCCCCTCAGCCTGTTTGTAACTCATCTGGCCAAGTGACAGCCATGGCCCAGGCCTGGGCGATGCCATCTGTTCCCTCAGGCCCTCAGAGACCATGAGGTAAGGTAGAAGGGGAGGGCCTGGTGTGCCGCCTACTGTTAGGGGTGCCTGCCTGGCCCCCACAGTCCCCACCCCATGGCCAGCTGACCTCCCAGCATCTGGTGGTGTGAGCCCCACTCCTGCTCGGTACCTGCTGTGGCTCCCCGCTGCCTTGCCACGCTGGGTTAGCAGAGTGTGTGGAGGTGAGCCCCTGCCGGCGCCACCACGAGCCCAATAGGTGGAACATGTGGTGGTTAACTGCTGGGGCTCTGGATTCTATCCCTTGTTTCCACTTACCTGTGTGCCCTGGGGCCACTGGCTCAGCCTCTCTGAGCCACACTTCACTGCAAAATGGGGATAATAATAATTCATATCACATAGGATTCTGTGAGAATTAAATGTTATTGTTTGTAAAGCACTTGGAACAGTGTCTGTCTCACAGTAATGTCATACGAGTTTTTAGCTGCTATCACCATTAATACCAATATTAATGTGTATGATCCCCAGAGGTCTGGAAGTGCCCTGAAGCTTTGGGCTCTGGGGTCACATAGACCTGACCCTGCCACCACTAATGACTTCCACTTATCGAGCACTTCCTGTATGCTAGACCCCAGGTCATATGCCATCCCCACTTAACAGATGGAGAACCAGACCGTGGCAGTCACTCAGATGTTCCGAGCCTGTCTCCCCACAGAGTGAGGATTACAAGGGGCAATACAGGTAAAGCGCATGGCACGCGGCTGAGTAAATGGTGATGTCCTTATCATTCTTTTCTGTTGTATTATAATCTCCATCTAGCTCCCCATCCCTTTGGTCCCCTCCTGGTCCGCGTGAGGGGCAGCAGCCTATTGCAGCCGCCCGGTGTCCCTCCTGCCCCCGTGCCCCTGCCCCTGCCCTTGCCCCTGCTGAGAATGCCCTTTTTGCTTTTCTTCCCTCCACCCAAACCATGCCTATCCCTGGAGGCTCACTTCAAAGTCTGTCTTCTGGCCTCTTAACACCGGAAGCTCCTTCAGGCATCACAGGACCCCACCTCTCATTTTGCCTATGGGAACTGAATTTGTACCCAGTCTCAGAGTCTGGACAAGGACCAGGTCTGGAGTTCCTGGCGCCTGCACAGGCTCCATCCATCCCAATAGTGGCTCCTCCTCTGGGAAGATCTGGCCTCTTAACACCGGAAGCTCCTTCAGGCATCACAGGACCCCACCTCTCATTTTGCCTACGGGAACTGAATTTATACCCAGTCTCAGAGTCTGGAAAAGGACCAGGTCTGGAGTTCCTGGCTCCTGCACAGGCTCCATCCATCCCAATAGTGGCTCCTCCTCTGGGAAGACTTTGCCTTCATATCCTGAGCTTGGGGACCCTTTCTGCATCCCGACTGCTCCCTACCATTCCCTAGGGCCAGTGAGTCCTGCACCGTCCATCTGTCCTCCCCCTGCCTTTTGGCTCACTGAGTCCCATGTTGCCCTGTCTCCATGCACACAGTGGGTGCTCTTTAAATGCCCATGTGGCTGGTCAAAACAGGCTGACCCCAGGCCACTGACCCTGAGAGTGGTGTGACAATGACTGTCATGTCCAACACTTTTAGAGCTCACAGAGATGTCCTCTGCCCCTTTGGGTCCTTGCTAAAGCCCCAGGAGGGGAGAAGGCAGCCCCTCTTTACAGGTGGGGAAGCTGAGGCCAGAATGGTGAAAGCAAAATCCCTTTGCTTGTAAGTGAGGTGATGAGGACTTGAACCCAGGTCTGTCTGCTCCAATCTCAGGTTGTTCCTGTGGCACTGCAAGCAAAGAATCAGATGTCCTTGAGGGCGGATGCCCCTACCCTGAGTCTGGGGCTCTCAGCTAGGGCTGTGCAAACCAGCATCTTCCAGGGAGCTGGTTAAAATGCAGACTTGGGACCCCAACTCAAACGCTGGAGTCCCACCCTTGGGGCTCCCAGCCATGCTCTGGGGAAAGCACAGCCCAGAGCAGGTGTGGTCAGGCTTGGACAAAGCTCAGGCCTTGACTGGACAGATCTGGATTCAAGTCCTTGTGACCCCTGGGCTGTGTGAACTTGGACAAGTCCCTGAGCCTCTGTTCCCTGGGTTGTTGTGATAATCAAATGAGCCAACGTGTGTTCAACTTTTGGCACAGGCCTGGCTCCCATTCTCCCTTCTAGGGGTCTGCTGCTCATTAGGGGGTCAGTGGCCAGGCCCCCACACTATCTGCCTCAGGCATCCCAGAGGTTGTCTGATCCCCCCTTTTGCCCACAACCCAGGCCAAAAGTTCTGCTCAGGATGCCTGGCAGGGGGCCCCAGACAGCCCTGCTGGACTCCTGTGGTGGATGTGGGCACCGAGGAGCACTGTGAAGGGAGTCCCCTGGCTCGAAGCCTGGCTCGCTCCCCATTGTCTCACGGGGTGTCCCCGGCATGTAGGCATCTCTTCACTGTGTATCGCAAGGCCTGGGGAGATGCACCATGGCCCAAATAGGAGTGTCTAGTCCCCACTACCTGGTCCCAGCCCCTGGCGATCTCTGATCCCTGCAGAAGAGTGACATCAGCATGCACCTCTCCACAGTGGCATGTGAAGCCCCGTCCATACCTCTCCCTCACCCGTGCCTGAAATCCCCTCATTAAAGATGCCCCACATGCCCTAGCCTTGCCTCTTCTAGTGCTCCATTTTAGATAGTGTCATCTACAGGGCCCGTGGCAGCTGCCACATGGGAAAGACTCCTTGGTTCAGGAACCACTCCAGCTTGCAGCCATAGGCCCTTGGGGGGGCACTTAGTCCTTAGCCTCAGTTTTCCCACCTGTAAAGTGGGCACAAGTAATAACAGCAACAAAACCTCATACCCCCAGGACTGGCGGTGTAGGGGTATGGAGGTGGAGTGGCTTTGTGATCTGTCCTGCCATCCTGGAGGGTTTGGAATATTTCCTGGGGTATGTATGTATGAGACAGAGAACAAAACCCTCCATCAATCTCCCTAGTGGGTTTCTCCTTTGGTGGAAAATGGCAGGACATTTACGATTCAAAGGAAAAGGCAAAACCCAGACTCATTGTCCTGGGGTCTCCCAAAGCCTGTTCCACTCACCCTCTGCATCTCTTCAGTTTCTGGGTAAGGAGAAAATCCAGCTCCTGCTAACTCTGGGTTACCCATGTTACTGATGCCTGCCTGCCTGGGGTCCCCTCCAGAGGAGACTATGAGAAGAATCACACTTTAAGGACCCAGCTCCTTCTGTCTGCTCCCTCCACTCTCT